CCTACTGAAAAATTACTCATACAATATCCCTACATGAGTCCATGAGTACAGCTGAAGACTACATCACAAGAAACAGTGCCAGGCAGGAGAATAGTCCAAGAGACTCCCAATATGACACAGGCTATTGCCACAGTCCTTGATTGTCTCCAAGAACTTGATGGTAAGACCCTATTGCCTATTGCTGAAAACAAGACATACTTTGGACACAGGATTTGGAGCAATGGAGCTGGAACTGACCTGGAAGCTACCTCCGCTGAAGGTTAACTCTCATAGCTTTGGAGAGCACTACAAAAGCAGGTAAGGGAGAACATCAATCAATGGTCCAAACCTGGCTTCAAGGCCTAAAAACCACGTCAATGACCAGCACAGCAAAAGACATTGTTATAGTAGTGGCACTTTTATCTTGGGGGTAATCAACAGCTACCTAATTGGACTTAAAGTCCACTCAGTGGGAGGAAATTCATGTTTGGTATGGTAAACGTAGCCAAATACACATGGCTGGAGAGGTCATAGATTTTAGAGAAAACCCCAAGGCTCTCCTATCCCTAGACAAATGGAATTTCTTACTATGTGCAAAATATGGATCCTTAAATTTACAGACAAATACCTAATCACCACCCATATCAAAGCAGCTTTTTTTTTCAACAGACAGATTATTACATGGTTACACCACTGGCACACACAGAGATTGTGAAGTGCCCAAGCCTAAGTGGCACATCTAGCATGCAACCTCTACACCTAAGACTCATGGAACATAGAATAAGGGATGAAGAGAACACTAATGCATCTTTCAATTCTCATCAATGAAACTCCCTCATGCAATGGAGGGCCAGGAACACAAAAGGCCCAAAATGGCCAAAACACAGAAAATAAGAGTCAGGAGAGTGTGAGTCCTTGGATAGGACTCCTATATTGAGGTCCACCCACCCAGGGCTCAGGGACCATTACAGAAAGAGGGGGCAGAAAGATTATAAGAGCCAGGGAGGAGGTGCATGACCATACGGAAATAGTCCTACAGGCTCCTGGGACTCTTCACATATGAACTTACAGCAATGGTGTCAGCATGCACACGATTCATGCAAACTTACTCAAAAACGCAGTACAGAACTGTGGAAATGAACAGCAGGCCCCAATCTTAGTCAAAGAATTATTGGAAGATGATTACTGCTGGGTGAGGAAGAGCTGATCTTCTTAAAGGGAGACACCCTAGGTTGACTAGATCCCAATGGATGAACTTGCACTGAGGGATATCTGGGGACACTAACTTTACATGATAGGCCTTAGCACAAATGACCGAATGTATGAACTCCAGTGGGGTGGCTATGGGAGGGTGCCAAGGGGAAGGGGGTATAAAGATGATTTTCTGTATGAAATACACAAAAATTCAGTGAAAAATGAAAAGAGGAAAAAAAAGATGCTGCTTTATAATGTTGTGGCCTGGCCCCAATCTTAGTTGAAGAATTATTGGTAGCTGATTACTGCTGGGTGAGGAAGAGCTGATCTTCTTGAAGGGAGGGACTCTAGATAGGCTGACTAAATCCGGTAGATGAACTTGCACTGAGGGACATCTCAGAACATAGGCCTTCATACAAATGACAGACTGTATGAACTCCAGTTTGGGGGGCGGGCTATGGGGGGGTGCCAGAGGGAAAGGGGGAATAAATATGATTTTATGTGTGAAATACACAAAAATTCAATAAAAATAAAAAATAAATAAAAAATTAAAAAACCCATTTTCTAAGACTCTAGTCATAAAAAAAGGGAAAATGAAAACAAAAATGATATTTAGCAAATTCTCCTCTCCTCACTGAGCTGCATGCCAGCCCCTTAAAAAGTCTTTGAATGATCAAAAGGATGGAATACTCATTGAGGTGGCTTCTAGAAACTTGGGCTCAACACTTGTAGCTCAAATGATTGGCTGAGGTCAAAGTTCCTTCCGTTCCAAAACTTCTCTTCAAATAACAGAAATAAAAAGTAAAAATGTGTTGGAAGATAGAAAGCAGTGCCAGAAAAAACTATTTCTAAGCAATGATGAAGATGGGGTGATGTTAATGGCAGTGGGAAAAAACCAACAGGGTCCTAAGACAACTCTAGGAGGAAGGCCTGTAGAGTCAAGGGTGGATTTTCCCCAGATCTGGAGAAATGGCGGACCTGGAGGAAGGTTACAGGGAGCAGCAGCTAGAGGTGGCTCACAAGATGGATGGCTTCCACTGACTACACACGCGATGCCGTCACACCGGCGTGCTCCTTGGTCTTTTCTTCAGATGCTGGGCTGCGCCATTGGAGAAGGCACTTCTTTGAATATTTGTGGGCATGCTCACTGGCAAGGGGCACTGCTGAAGAGAGCAAATGCAGAGAAGCTGTGCTAGGATGATCCCCACGGGGCTATGTCTATGTATTCTCCTAACTCCTACTGTGCTGCCAGCTTGGAACTGAAATAAATGTCAAACAAAATCACATGGTGCTGCCAGTATGCACATGGGTGTGCCGCCATCCAGCGGGGCATAAGCAATTTACCAGCAGTCACATCCCCAAAGGAGAGTGACTCCCCTCCCTCAGCAGCCATTAACTGCCAATAGTTCCTCCAATAGAGATGGGCAGGACTACCTGGACTCAGGGGGATTATTAATAACACACTAAATAAGTAAAAAGAGGACTTGAATCTGGGAGGGAGATGGGGCAGCACTAGGGAAAGCTGGAGGGAGGTGGTGGTGGATGGATATGATCAATATACATTGTATAGGTGTGAAACTTTCAAAGAATAAAATACTATAAAAACCAACAGAATACAAATTGAAAAATCATTCACATGTACAATTTTATATAAGAACAAAATTTTCAAAATCCTAACTGCATTGATAGCAAATTTAACTCAGTAGAATACTAAGAGAATAATACATCACGACCAGATAGGTTTTACTCCAGAAATTAAAAAATGAATCGATGCTAAAGGCAATACTACTGTAGTTCATGCTACAGAAATACTTGGAAGTAGCCGCAGCAGGTGCCTTCAAGCAGTATGGAAAAGGCAGCGTTTGATAATTAACAGAGAATTAATTAATTATTCATTAAAAATGAACACATTTCTCATCGTTGTGGAGAGGTCAGGGAGGAGTGTTTAGACACAAGACCCTCACTAGATGACTCTGACCAACCAAGTCCACCCCCAGTAACCTGCTGGGAAGAACATCTGGCCCTGCTCATCTTTGCAGACTATGGTTTTGATGAAGCATTTTCTCTTTCGGTCTTTTTTGAGACAGGGTCTCCCTGTAGCCCCAGCTAGCCTAGAACTCACTATATAGACCAGGCTGACCTTGAACTCACAGTGATCCACCTGCCTCGGCCTCCAGAGTACTGGGATTAAAGGCATGTGCCACCACACCCGGTGATGCAGCATATTTATAAATGTTCAGTAAGTATTTATTTGCTGAACAGCTCTGCATATGGGGCTTAGATGAGGGTCGGCCTGATGTTAGGAGACTCGAGGCCAGAGGCTTATGGCCAAGTTCTGGCACCATCACTCAGAAGCTGCATGACTGTTCATTGAAGTGGACAACCAATCTTTGCCCCAGTTTCCCTGTCTGAAACGTCATTACCTCAGTGATTGAATGGGATAGTATATCAAAAGACAACGGCCATTTAAGAATTTCTAGGCTGGAGGCTGGAGAGATGGCTCAGCTGGTTAAGAACACTGGTTGTTCTTGCGGAAGACCTGGGTTTGAATCCCAGCACCCACATGGCAGCTAACAACTGTCCGTAACTCCAGTTCCAGGGGCTCCAACAGCCTTTTCTGTCCTCTGTAGGCACTGCACAACATGGGTGCACTTACCTACATGCAGACAATACACTCATATACATAAAATAAAAATAATAAAATATTTTAAAAAAAGAATACTGCTTTTTTTTTTCCACCAAGTCACGCAAATTAGATTATTTCTTCTATTCCTCAAGGTTTAGGTCAAGGTTATTGCAGTAATTTGAATGAGAATGTCCCTCATAGGTTCTAAGTATTTGGACATTTCGTCCCCAGTTGGTGGCTCTGTTTTGGAAGGTCTTAGATGGTGTGGCCATGTCTGAGGAAGCAAGTCATTGAGGGTGGGCTTTGAGAGTTCTTAAGCCTTGCTGATTTCCAGTCTGCTTCAAGATATGAGTGCTCCTCTTTCTGCTCTGGCCACTTCTTGCCACCATACCTCCCCACCTCGATGGACTCTGATCCCTCTAGAACCATAAACTCAAATAAATTCTTTCTTTATAAGTTCCCTTTGTCACTGTGTGTCCTAGTTTGTTATCTATTGCTATAACAAAATACTCTGACCACTACCAACTTGGGGAGGAAAGGGTTTATTTAACTTACATATACCGGGTCACAGCTCATCTGGCAGCCCAAGGTAGGAACTTGGGGCAGGAACCTGAAGCAGGAGCTGGAGCACAGACCATGGAGGAACGCTGCTTACTGGCTTGCTCCCCTGGGCCCTGCTCAGCCTGCTTTCTTATGCAACACAGGCCCACCTGCCCAGGGGTGGCACCACCCACAGTGGGCTGGGCCCTCCCACATCACTCATCAAGAAGATGCCCTTCAGATATGGCCACAGGCCAGTCCAATAGAGGCAATTCCCTAATTGAGGCTCCCTCAACCCAGGTGTGTCAAGTTGACACTAAAGCTATCCAGCACATGGTGTTTTATCACAGTAACAGAAAAGCAACTAATACAGTCATATATATATATATATATATTTATATTTTATGTTGGGTTTCTTTTTTTTTTTTAGGGTCTCTCATTGGCCTGGAGCCTACCAAGTAGGCTAGGCCGGCTGGCAAGTCTTGGGAATCTGTCTCTGCCTCCCCATTGTTGGAATTACACCCTGGGCCACCATGTCTAGAATTTTAATGTGGGTTCTGGGAATTGAACTCAGGCCCTCGTGATTGCATGGTAAGCCCTTTACTAGCTGAGCCATCTTCCCAGTCTTCAGTAAGTAGCTTTAAAACCCCTCTCAATTCTGATCTTTTTTGGTTCATAAGCATGATGGTTGGGTGTTCACATGGCTGCATGACATGTGCCGCCCTCAAACCTTGTTATGCATCAGCATATTACCCATCTGATATGAAAAAAAGAAAAAAAAGAAGAAAAAAAGGAAAAAATGCTCAATTCTTTTAAAAAATATTTTATTAATTCTTTGAGAGTTTGATACAGATATTTTGATCATATTTTCCCATCCTCCAATCTCCCAACTCCTCCCACATCCACCCCCACCTCTTTGTCCACCCAACTTCCTGTCCTTTTGTTCCCCATCAAGATCAATTTGTGTTGCCCAAATACTCTTGAGTATGGAGTCATGGTTGACCTGCCAGGAGTCGGACTCTTAAAGAATGCTTTTTCCTCTCCCAATAGCTATCAAATGCCCATAGCTCCTTATCTGGGGGTGAGACTTCATATCCACCTCCCCTCCCCCTGCATTCTGGTTTTGTCTGGTTTGAGCTTGAGCAGGTCTTGTGTATGTTGTCACAATTGCTGTGAGTTCATATGTGCAACTTCCCTGCGGTCTGGAAAACACTGTTTCCTCATAGGCATCCATCACCAGGCTTTTACAATCTTTCTGGCTCCTCTTCTGTGAAGATTCCTGAGCCTTGGGTGGAGGGGTGTGATATAGGTGTCCCATTTGGGACTGAGCATGCCCAAGTCTTTTATTCTCTGCATATTGACCATGATCTATCTAGCTACAGGTTACTGACCCTGATGATGGTGCCAAGTATGGGCTCCACCTTGTTCAGTAAGTATCTTGTTGGAAGACATTTTGAGACTGTAAAGCTATCCTTTCTCTTATCAAACTTTCATCTAATTCTGCAGCCACTAATGTATTTTGCCAGCAGTAACTGTTAGTGTGGCATTTGCCCAGTGGTGTTGCCTGCTTCCTGATTCCTTCAACATCTGTTAGTAGAGCACACTGTGGTAGAGCTCTTTCTCTCCTGTCTTTTATTATACCAGTTTGATTCATGATCACTGTTTTATTTTTTAACATTATTATGTGTTTTGTTGCTCATAGTGTTCCAGCTCTGGCCATTGGGAGTTCCCTTGAATTGGACCCTGTGTTCCTTCTAAACATATTTGAAACACTTACATACTTTATGGCTAGTTCAAGATGTTCCAGGCTCATCTTGTGTTTTCTCCTACTCTAACCCTAGAATCAAACACTTCTCCAAGGAATCCTAGCTTTAAAAAGTGGATAATGGGGCAGGGCGTGGTGGTGCACGCCTTTAATCCCAGCACTCGAGAGGCAGAGGCAGACAGATCTCTGTGAGTTCAAGGCCAGCCTGGTCTACATAGTGAGTTCCAGGACAGCTGGGGCAACAGGGAGACCCTGTCTCAAAAAGATAAAAAAAAAAAAAAGTGGATAATAGGGGCTGGAGAAATGGCTCAATGGTTTAGAGCACTGGCTGCTCTTGCAGAGGACCGGGTTCAATTCCCAGCACCCACATGGCAGCTAGCAACCATCAGTAACTCCAGTTCCAGGAGAATCCGATGCCCTCTCCTGACCTCCGTGGGCAATGCATGACATGGGTGCACTTACATGCAGGCAATACACATAAAATAAAAATAACAAATAAAATATTTTTTAAATGGAGAATGGTGTTTAGAGACCAGGATCTGGGTGCTATGTGTGCTTTTTATTATTGGGGTGCCATTTCATCTAGGTGGACTTTATATTTCAGTGGACAATTAGGAAATACTTGTACATATATACATACCTATTCACACATTTCTTTGATTAGCTTTAATTAGTTAAGAAGAGATTCATTTTTCTTTTTCTGTTCTCTTATATTTTCCAAAGACACACAGATCATGGACCAGCAGCTTACTTGTTATTCTATGAATTTGCTTTCTGCTTCAGTAGGTACCATGCAAGAGCTCTAATGGGGCAGATAATGCTCTTGATAAGAGGAACTGAAAAGGCTGTGCTCCCTCTAGTGGTCAAACTGAGTAACTGGCATGTCAGAATGAAGGGATGAGTTGAGTGAGATTGAGTAACCAGCAATTTATTATGCACATTAACCAACAGGGTAAAATAAATAAGCAGACTGAATTAGTGTGTGATCACACTATAGTATGAGAGAACCTGAAGAGGGCAATTTACAGCTAACACTTGGCTGGGCTGCATGAGCTTATCATCCTTTCACAAAGCATTCATATGGATCGTCTCCTTGCGTCCTTTGGGCCTTCCTAGTGAACTCTTGAGGCAGATAGAGCTGATTTTTGCTATTCAGACTTCTCAAACAAGATCCAGCCTCAGAGAGGTTAAATTGTTTGTCAAAGTTAATAAAACTTGTCTGGGACTGCGCCGGAGGTGGAGTTGAACCTGTGTATGGAAGAGCAGTCTGTTCCGCCACTGCTGACACTCTGCTAAGGAATTTTGAAACATGTACAATGCTTCATTACAATGGGAAACAATAACAAATTAAAACCCCATAAAATACGACCCCATAGTTTAAAAAGGAAAGGGGGAAAGAAATAGCATCTCCCCACATTTTGACTCTTGGTAACATTTTTAGCAGTTCATAAAAGTGGGAAAAAAGACAAGCGTAACTATCTGTGAAGTTCTTTATCAAGTTAACACCTAGTTAAAGCAGGTCAGAGAGGCTTTATAAATACAAAATCCAGACTTTCAATAAAAAGTCTTACTACCAGGTGTGGCCTGAGATACACCAGTCTGGGAAGCTGGCCACCATAAACCCCTCAAGGGCCATGGCAGAGCCCATAACCATCTTATCCTCTCTGCCATCCTGGTCTTTGTAGCGTCATCTTTTCTTTGGCGCAGCAGAGATCTCACCATCAACCCACTTCTAACGAAAAGGGGATACACCCTCTCACTTTTATTTAGACAGATTTGAGAAATAAGAACGGTATTGACCAATGCACTCATCTTTCTGCGATCATCTGAGAAGCCAGCATGGCCCTGGGAATAAGGTACAACCACCAGGGCATGGATCTCTGAAAGCTTCTGTTTCTCAAGGTCATTACAGAGCCAACCATGGGAAGTCATAAAGCCATGCCATTCATTTAAAGTGAAGGACTTTATCTTGTCTCCCCCAGGACTTCCTCTCCTTCCTCTATTTGGAAAATGCTGACTGGGCATTCTGAAAGGAAAGAAAGCTGCCAATTTCAAACCCTCAGCACATCTGGGTGCTGAACTGATTCTAGCAAAGATTTCACAAAGAAAATTTGATGTTAGGTTAGTTTTCAAATGGAATGCAGACTTAAGCCTTCGGATGTGACTTTTTTTTACCCGTTACACTGTAAGGATGAGACAGCATCCCCCGCCCCCACCCATGGGGGAACAGGGTTTTCAAGGAGGCTGCATTATTTGGACTGAGAGTAGGTGACAGGGGACTCAAGGGTTCTGGAAAACTCTTCCCATTGTCATTTCCTCTTGTCCTCAGCTAGGCATCGAAGAGACAAAAAGCAGGCTCATGTCAACATCTGGCTAGTGTCTAGGCGTGAGCAGCAACACTCACGTCCTCCCACATGCAGGTGTGCCATGTGTTGTCTGGCCACCACATGGCACAGTTCAAAGATGAGAAGGGAATGGGGTTGTCTTCTGTGACGGTCCACTGCATCTATGGGCATGGTCCCCAGAGTGACACACAGAATGGAGGCATCTCACTTTCAGCCAGTTCTTTCCCACAGAAAATGCAATGGCCACGGCAACCATCCCTGCCCGCCTGCCTTCCCTTTGGTGCTTGGGGAACACAGCAGAAGAGTCTTTAGTACACAGCCATCTGAAGCCTGCTAACCAGGTCATGGAGAAGCTGTCTTCTGTGATTAAATCTTCTGAAACCCAGCAAGGATAGGATGAGAAGAGCCATCCAAGAGCCATCTACTTCATAATATGTCCTGTCAGCATCTTGTGCCATGGAACCTTGATCAGTCTTCTCAGTTGTCTTGCCCACTACCTAGCTCAACACCAATGTTCCAGCTCTCCAAGGCTCTTTCCCAATCCATTCGTGCCTGCTGTTCACTCAGACCGAACTATGGAGGTCAAGTTTCTCCTGCTCTAAGGCCCTGCTCTAAGGCTTCTGATTCTGTCCTCACTCATTGCTCAAACTTGGGAACGCGCTCTTCCTGCTCTTTCCTGAGCACAGAGCAGTGGTATATAGGATGCTCATTACAGCAATACCTTCTTGTCCCCATCCTACCTCATTACAACTGACAGAGTAGATCATGCGTCTTTGTGACTCAATACTGATGTCAGCATTTGGGATGCTGTAAGAACTGAATAAAACTGTTCTGTTTGCATGAAAGAATCAGGGAGATGATATCATGCTTATCACCGTGACCTGAGTGTATACTGGAGTCTAAGATGCAATTGCAGGACATTCTAGTCCAACCCAGTGTTACCCAAAGTGTGGCTGGTGGAACACAGAACTTTGATGCATTTTGCCCACCTTCCAAGGAAAAGAAGAGAAATGGAAAGAAGTATTTTATGGTCAAACAAATTCTGGAATGTTCCACACTGCATGTTCTTCCTCATGAATTATGTGTCCTTGATAAAGACCCTGAAGAGATTGACAGTCAAGAAATCTTTTACAAGTTGGTTTCATCTGTCAATAAACAAACTAAAGGGAAGCCTGGCAATTACAAGCTGTTGTATCAAGCCCTGGCCTGCTGCTGGTTGATTGGAAGAGAATTCCAAAGCAAGGGGACTTCATCACTGCACCCATTCTCAAAGTGTAGTTTCCAGAGCAGCAGCAGCTGGGACCTGGGAACTTTCTAGAAATGCAGTCCTGGGCCTCCACTGCAGATCTAGAGCTGAGGGAGCAGAGGAGGTGCAGCAATCTGCATTTTGGTAACATGCCCACCATGTGATTCTGACGGGTGTAAAGGTGTGTGAATCACTGGGTGGGAGGAAAGCTCCTGGCTGGAGGTGTGGGGGGGAAGTTTTATCTGAGGAGCATGTCAGGAGAACACAATGCAGGTGTGATGCTCAGCCCCTTCTCGGTTCTGGTTGTTGAATCTGCTTACCTGCCACTAGGGTGCATTTGTGATGTAGTAATCCGGCCAGAATCTTCTATGGGGAAAGCTCACGGTTCCTTAACATTGCCCGCAGGT